AAGGTATGTTTTCTAAAATACATTTTGACTGCTGACTGGTCTATTTCTAACCCTCTATTTCTCTACCAAAAGCACCTTTCTTAATTTCACTTTCAACTCAAATAGCTTTAAAAAATCTAACAAGCTGAAATAGAAATTTAAATCTTTGTCACTTGCCCCAGAAAAGAAAAAGCTCTTTCTCAAGACGGAAAAGGATGTTCAAGCTATCCACCCAGGAGAGGGCCATTACACCTGGCCCAACAAGCATCAGCAGGTCAAGGACCTGTTGCCCTGACATGGCGGGTGACCAGTCATGAAGTCCTCCTCACATCTCCTGCACACTTTCTCAGTTGGCAACCAGATGCAGAACTTACAGGTCACAAATAAGCCTTTCCATACCCTTTGATAGTAAACAGTGATGACCATCTCTGTCCATACCATCTCCATGATTCACCAGCATTTGTTCACTGTGTTCTGCCTCCAAAGGGAGTCTAGTGAAACTGAATGCAAACATGCTGGGATCTGGATGACTAGCAGCTAATCCAGGCATTTTTAAAGACAAGTCATTCCAACTGTTGCACGTGGTGCCTTCACATCTAGATGCTTCTGATTGTGATCACTTAGCCCTTCTTCTAATGCAATTCCCCAGACATGTACCAAGGAAAAGATGCATAGCCGCTGTAGCACCATAGCAGAGGAAAAAGCGGTGAGAGCAAAAGGGCAGCACCTTTTATTTTTTCCCCAACAGTATCTGCATAAACTATCCAAAAGAATGTACGAAACTATGGCTTAAAAGCTTTTTCACTGCTCATTACTGTGACACCACAGGAATGGTATTTTTTTTGACTAACCATACTATTCCTTTTATTGAAAGATGAGGATTCCCATACTCCAGCAGATCATTCATATGTAGAGGCAATCTCAAATATTTTTAATGCAGTTACAAATGTAGACTTGGCAGGCAATATCACAGATGGTTAAGACGAGAAAACTTGGAAAACAGCCTCAGCTCTTTATCCAGTTCACCTGCACAAGGGCATTAGACAGCCATGGAAAAAACTCTAACAAAAACTTCTCAAAATAACTCATTCTACCAACTCCAAACAAATCAAGGAATCACCTCAAAAGATGAAAGACCTCTCAGAGAGTTAACAAGAGCAAAGTAAAATAAATTTATCACATCAGGAGTGTTCTCCTCTAGAAAAGTAGGTGGATATTTAAACACCTTTCAGTAAGTTTTGTACAGATGGAGAGCTAGGAAAACAAGTACTACGCACAGCTAAAGTAACATTCTCATTATCCACACAGGCATTTTCAGTTCAAAGATACAAAAGAGCAAGAAATTAATGAGTAACTCCAACTAGCAGTAGGTCAGATTTTTCCCAGTGATTGATGTACCCTGACTGGCAACATGCAGCTGAACCAAAGACAATACTGATACTACGGCATTAAAATATTTTCCTCTACCACTCCCTGCCTCCTTAAAAGTAAATATGAGGTTCCTCTTTGCTCCCTTGCAAACACTGCCATCAACCTGTAAAAATTCCCTTAGCTGCTCTTGCTGTTGAGGATACTACTGCACTTGCCATTTCTGCCAAAAAGGTTGATCATTTGTCCTGGAAAGCTTTCAGATGAGTACTAAGCCCACAGTCAAGAGGAACGTAATTATCAAACACACAAAAAATTTTTTCAAGGTAATTGCCTTGATTGCTTAGCATTAGAAACTAAATAGGCCTACATGCTTGGAAGCTACAACATCACTGAATTATCACTCCTCAAGACCAACTTGATTTCTTGTAAATAAGGGTTATTAAGAAGCACTCCACAGTACCTGATAGCCAAGAACTGTTAGCAACATCTGTTTGCTTTGGTTATTTTGGGCTGTTCTTTCCTTACATTACACACAGTACTCCTTCAGAAAGCATCGTCCAAAAGGAAAAATCCTGGTCTCTGAACAAACAGTTGTTTCTTTCCTCCTGGCTGCCTTTCATTGCCATTTCCAGTGAGTCATAAAAGAAGTATCCGAAGTGAGGCAAAGATGGTGGTACTCCACCACTGTCCTTTCTGTACCTCTCTCCACCCACTTCTCAGAAAAATATAGTCCTGAATATGCATTCCACAGCACTTCCAGTCCAGACAGCCACTCCCTGCAACTGCATGAGGTCATATGAAACAGAACAGGATCCGTAGAGAAATATCTCAAGTCCAAACAGGAGCTGATAAAAGCCCAAATAAAGCAGTAAGAGTTAAGCAGAAGTTACTTCAATTTACAAACAGTGATAATGAAATATTGTCTATGAATACTCCTGGATTACAATCTAATACAGCATTTGCATTGTGTCTGAGAGAAGCAGAAAAGAAACAAAAAAACCCACCACAAAACAACACATACAGAAAAACCAATCCAAACAACCAACCCCAAACCAGTATCTGACCCCTTCTACAAGTGGAAACATCAATGAAGGATATTATAGTAAAACACCATGACTTCTAGATAAGGAACAAAAAAATCAGGTCTCAGGCTGCTTCTATTCGAGACAAATATACCCTTACCCTTCTGTGAGAATGAGCTGGCAACAGAAGAGTATATTTTTACAGTTTTATCTGCACTGCCACAGCTTTTCTATCAGATTACTGTGATTTGGCGACAGGGGAAAAACAAAACAAGCAAAGCAATCCAAACACACAAACAAAAAAGAGAACACAAAAAAGAAAACTTGAAGCATTAAACAACACTTATTAATAAAGTCATTTTTCTTCAAGAATGAGGCATCTGGCCCACAGATAGTAGAGGAATCCCTCTATTCACAATCTTCATTTTAACCCCAAATTTCATTTCATTCTTTCACAATCTTGAGCAACTTAGTTACACTCTGCTTCCCTTTCTCCAATTAGCAAGAATTAATTCCTCTTTCACAACACTGTTGCACATTATTAACTGAAATAAAAACCTACTAAATAACAACAGAAAAACAGTGACAGTCAAAAAAGACCAATCAAACAACATGCTGGAATACCATTAAATAAGTACTAATTATTCTTCTAATAATGCTTCTGATGCATGTTCATTAGCAGACAGGTCCGGCAAACAGCTATAAATTGCCACAAAATAGAGTACAGAAGTACCCAAAGTTACACTGCACATGGGCCATCACATCACACAAATCAGAAATTCAAACTTTCCTAAATTTTTTATTTCAGTACGAAATCAGGTGCTAGCCAACTATCATCTTACCTTCTTCTAACGTAAAAACCCCTCTTTGCTTCTAGATTCCCTATCTGTTGCTCGGTTAAAGGGCTGGCAAGCCTCTAACAATGCGGATACAATGCAAATCAGCATGTTGTTAACCACATGATTTTAGTTGTCTTTATGTTGTAGAAGAAAAAATAAATACAAACTACAGTGTTTGCATGCAATATATATTGCATTCTATACTGTAATAATATAACATGATTATGGGGAAGAGGAGAGGAGTCACCAACTGCTGTTCTTCAGCTGCATCCCATGCTGCCTTGGCTACCATCAACTTTACAACATTCACCTTTTCAGTTTCTGAGTGTGACACAGAGCACACCAGCCACCTTCCTTTGCTCTTAGGTCCTCCTCTTCTCCTTAGAGATATAACTTCCAATCTGATATTCTCTCATCATGAAGGAAGATTATTAGCCCTCTCACAGCTCAGAGGGACTGTATTCAATAGCACAAGAAAAAGGCCACAGTATCTAATTCAGATGCTACGCTCAGTTACATTACCAGCAAAAAATTCAAACATAGAAAATCTCAGATCAGGGGCATTAATTTCAAACACACTGACCTCTTATAGTTCTTGCTTAATTGCTTCTGCTAAATAACCTCCACTATACTATGACATCATGAAAAAGCAGATACTGTGCAATAATGCATGATACTATCAAATCTGTTGGGGTATACAAAATAATTGTTGCACTCTTTGTAAGTATGACCACTAAACCCTGTTGGAAAAGTTTTCTCTCTTTTGGCAGAGGACTTCCAGAAAGACACTGAGTGCCTGGAGAGAAGTCCAAGCAACCCAGGGAAAAGTACTACAGATCTATTAAATAGGTGGATGCATGGAGAAATATCCAAGAATTGAGCTCTCAGTGTGAAAGGAATATACACTGCTGCAATTTAAATTTGTAAAAGGTTTCAGTTAAGAGGAAGGGAATAACCATTTTTCATGTGCACTGCTAATCCAGAAGGCAATATTGCACCAGACATATACAAGTTAGACAACAGGAAGTGATGCCTTTTCTTGGGTTTAGAATTAAGAGTTAGATAGGGTTAAGGGATAAAGGGCTATCTAATAAGGATATTTATGGCGCACTAATTCACCAAGGTGAAATAAGTAGAAATGTACACACACAGTAGAGTGCATATACAATTTTATGGACTTTGTAAATTAGTATATTTTAAAATGATGCTTTAATTAGAGGTTTAAATGAACGGTGTGAATTTTCTTATCTTCAAGTATTTTCTCCCAGATGGACTTAATTTTAATTTATAGGACATGTTTTAGAGGGGATCTTGGTTTTTCAAGACACCATAAGGTTTTTCAGCCTCCCACTGTAAGGCCTTCAGGATGTTTGGTCTTCTGGCTTAACAGAACACCAGGACTATGCTAAGATATTACAGACTTAAAGAATTACAAGTGTACACGCTCAGGGTATTGAGAATATATAAGTGATACATAAAAAGAAAAGGTAAAAAATCATCATGGCATCAGGAGAACCCATCCACTGCTAGAAATAACAGAACGAACAGCTACATAGTCCTTGTCATGAAGTCTTTGAGAACCTTAGAAACGCACATCAGAGGTCAGTTGTTTTTTTCACGGAGGAAGGGAGTTTCTTTGATTTTTTTTTTGGTTGGTTGTTTTTTCTAGTGAAACTATATAGCCACTAAGAAACCGAGACAAGAGGTAACATGCATCCAAATTATTCCCCGTACCAAAGGTCACATCTTCTTTTAAAGCACCAGCACTTTCCAAATCAATTATTCTCACCTCTTTGCTTCCTCCAGATGACAAAGGTATTCATAGGCTACATTCTGGCGTCGCCTTTCATCCATTTCCTCTGCTGTTAATCTCTCATTATCCAAGACAGCTGAAAATAAATGAAACACAGCCCTCAGATGGTTGAAGATTGAATGTAATGGAACAGACACATCAAAAATCAGATCCAACCTCTCCCACAGAAACTCATCCTGATTGTTTTTTTTTAAATTCAGAAAACTAAGGATCTGATTACTTGTTTTCTCTTACTAGCAAGAGAAAACACTCAATTCGCTTATCCTTGTCACATCAATTTGACAGCTTCCTTCTTCCTGATTTCTCAAATTCACAGCATCTCTCTTACAACTTCTTAGAAACAATCTTTTATTTTCTTATTTCCTTCTACCTTTGCCTTTGTCTTCCTCAAAAGCACATCAGTGACCACTTGTCCCCTCACCTATCCTCCAATTTTGACAGCAAAAGATTAAGGAAGGACACAAACACATATTCACATCATATAAACCCCTCTATATCTTTATAGTCCACCTCTAAAGCAAGGTGGAAATGCTACTCACATTCCCTATATGGAAGGGAATCATTCAGATTCCCAACTTACATGCCATCTTTGGATCACACTAAAGACCTACATAGGGGTAATATGCCTAAATCTTCTAGATTTTGTGTGTTCAAAGTCTCAGTGAAAAAGTCTTCTCTTCCCATACTTACAGCTAAATACATCTCATGTCAAAAAAGAAGAAGAAAAACCCACAACTCTTTTAGGCATTATGGACCAATTTAACAAATAGGAAATGTTTCATACTGTTAATAAAGCAAAGGTTAGCTTACACCTAAAATTACTTCAACAACAATCTATGGTACGCTTGTGAGACCCCAGCAGGAAAACTGCATCCAGGTCTGGCATCTTCAGCACTAAACCTGCTAGAGCACGTCCAGAGGTGGGCAACAAGGATGCTCCGGGGGCTGGAACACCTCTCCCACAGCGGCAGGCTGAGACAGCACGGGTTACTCAGCCTGGAGAAGGCTTTCTCTGTGGTATCTCTGTACTTAAAAGGGAGCTTATAAAAGGAAGAGGGAAATGCTGATAGAACAAAGGGGAACAGTTTAAAACTAGAAGTGGAGAGATTTAGAGCAGATGACAGGGAGAAATTCTTGAACCAAGAAGATAGTGAGACATTGGCACGGGCTGCCCAGAGAAGCTGTGGCAGCCCCATCCCTGCAGCGTTAAAAGACCGGGTCGGACCGACTGTCGCTTACAACATCGCCCCTCCACAGCACCACGTTTTCCTCCGCCGTTGGTCATTTTCGACGAGGTATCGTAGCACAGGTGAGCCCGCGCGTCGGACGCTAAGATCCAAAGCCTCCCTCTCCATAGCAAGCCCACGACAAGCCAATGAAGGTGTCAAATAGGAGCGGTGTTTCGCCCAGAAAATCAGGTGTGGTCGCCAAAATCGGCGGGAAGGCGGAAGGCAGGGCCGCCCCCGCCCCGCCCGCAGCGGACATCTTGGGCGAGGTGCAGGGCTCGCCCGCGGCAGACGACGGCCACACAGCCGTGGGACGCCGCGTTGCTGCTCATCCACTGCCTTCTCCCAGCACTCGTCTCTAACCCTCAGGAGGACCGTCGAGCTTGGACGAGGTCCCGCGCGGCACGGCGCCCATCTCGCGGGAGGCGCAGCTCGACGGGGCCCGCCAGGAGAGCCGGCGGGGCACACCGTGCCCGCGGGGCAGTCCCGGAGCCCGGAGCCCGCGGCTCCCCCCATGCCTGCGGTGGCCCAGCCTCCCCTCACAGCGCTGAACGCTGGAAAGCACGGACGGCTCGGACTGGGCGTCGCTTGGCGGCCACGCGAATTCTCTCACCCCGGGGTCCCGGTACTTACAGCCATAGTGGGGCCGGGACACGGCCAGCCCGTCCACGTCCTCCGCCGCCATGGCGCTGCGCTGGGCTGGGGCTAGCGGGAGCTGGGCGCGGTTGTTCCTCTTCCTGCCGCACCGGGTGTGGCGGGGGAGGAGTCGCCCCGCCGCGCTCTCTCTCCCTCTCCCCGCCCCGGCCGCACCCGAGGCGTCCTCGCCACCTTCGGCGCCGCTGGAGAGAAAGGCCGAGTTGCGCAGTCCCCTTCCGGCAGGACCCAGGCCCCAGTCTAGCTCGGCCCGTCCCGTAAACCTGAAGGACACGGCTTGGCCGTCTTGTCTCTTCCCGGGGTCCCTCCCTCTCACAGGGCCAGCGTCCTGGCTCTGAATCTGTCTGTTAGCCTCATTCCTAACACCCAGCTAAGCTCTCACCTAAACTCCGCCAGCATATACGGGACACAGCCCAGGTCAACCTGGTCGTGACCCACATTTTACCCTCTCAGCCCAGCCATGTGTGCGCAGCCCACGTGCGCCCCACTGTGTGCAGTGCAGCTCAGCCTCCACAGCCCGGCTGCCTCCCACATGCTGCTTCGCCTAAGCCCTCTTGCTCTGCCAGGTTCCCCAGCTGCATAGCCCTTCACAGTAGCAAAACCTGGCCTTGCTGGATGTAGCCTAAACAGCTCTACTGACCAAACCATGGTAACTCACATGAAATGTCAACCACAAGTGGAAGCAGTGGAAGCCCCTAAACAATAGCAACGTCCAGCAGCACTGCCACAGGAGAATCATGCCCTGAAAACTTCCTTCCCCTCAGTACATATAACTGTTGCTTTGCCTATATCTTGTTCAAGGGTCAGAGTATTGATGGTGCCAGTCACCAGGTGTCCATTTTAATTAGTCACATGAATTTCACTGCTAGGGCATACATTTACTACCTAAGCACACGTTAAGTAATTTGGAAGACCAATAGCCTCTGTTAGGAAAAGCATCCCCAGCAGGCAAGGGAGTCAATCTATCATTCTCATCTTCCCAGATATGGATTCAGTTTCAGCTCCCTCAGTACAAGGAAGACATGAACATAATGGAATACTTACAGTGAAATTGATTAAGGGCTTGGAGCATCTGACATATGAGGAGAGCATGAAAGAACATGCCAAGGAGCATTGGGCAATGGACTGAAAAATATAAAAAGTCCCATTTCAACAAAATAAAAAATAGCTGTATTCTGAAGGTGATCCAACACTGGAACAAGTTACCTGGAGAAGTTATGGAGTCTCTGTCCTTGGAGAAAGTTCAAGCCTAACTAGGCATAGTCCTGGACAAACCTGCTTGAGTTCACCTGGCACTGAGGAAACAAGGTGGGACTAGAGACTTCTAGAGGTCACTTCCAAACTCAATGATTCCATGAGCCCATCAAAAAGTATATTTATATATATATTTATTATATAAATATATAAGTATATTTACTTACTATATATACACAGGTAACATGGAACAGGACAAGAAGACACAGCTGTGCCAGGGCAGGTTTAGCTTGGACATTAGGAAGAATTTCTTCACAGGAAGGGTGGTTAGATATTGGAATGGGCTGCCAAGGAACGTGGTGGAGACATCATCCTGTAAGTGCTAGAGGAAAGATTAGACGTGGCACTTAGTGCTTTGATCTACCTGACAAAGTGGTATTCGATCATTGATTGGACTCAACAATCTTAGAGAACTGAATTGATTAAAGGAAGACATAATTTAATGGTTACAGAAATAACTACATTGGGAAATGTGGGACATAAATTACAAAACAAAAGGTTTTATAATACAGTTAGGATTCTATTTATTAACATTTGCATTACTTCACACGTGGCCACTTGTAATTTATGCAATGAGAAGACATTTAAAATAATGTTTATATGTAGACTGTGGCGTGCAGAATTCATTTTGTTCCCCCTAAAAGATTTCATAACATTTTTGCACAGTGCCACAAACCTCCCTCAAAAACATCTCATTCTGATAAGAAAAATAAAACACGATTATTACATGTCATCAAAGAACCTTTCTGAACCTCTTCAAGGTTGGACTCAATGGTACCTATAACAGCTCCCCTGATTTAAGATTTCTGGTGCTTGTTATTGACTTTGCAAAATGTTTTTATTAAAAGTTGTGTATCTATGTGTCTAATTTATTGTCTTTCCTGTTCCTTTTTTTCCCCCTAGTGTTTAATGAGCACTAGTCAGATGGCCCTGCAAATATCATAGAGATACCTATTTTTCTCTCATTTCAAAATTCGAGCAACCAATTCTGTAAAAAAAATTCTTTTAAGTTTTTTGCCTTAATGACTAATCACTAGGTTACCCAGAGAAAATGAGCACCAAAATCCTTTAAATAAACTACTGTTATCTGTTTTTTTGCAGAGGTTTCCAGACCAATTGTATACTGTGATATTTATGTCAAGGATGCATAACAAATGTCTAGGCCAACTCCTCACTCTTTATTATGATGCTAGAAGTTTTGTCAACAGAAAGACAATAGTTTTATTATACTCCTCATATATGATAAACAACGTTGGGGTTTCCAATTTACACATAAAGCTGTATAGCTATAGATAGTACATGCCCATATTCTTCCTACCTTTCAAACCTTATTGTGGCAAGCTGAAACAAATACAAATTAGATGACCCTTAAGACTAAACACTAATTTCTTCTAAATGAAGAAGAGTAAACATGTACGTAGAGGAAAACACTGTCAAAAATAGGGGGGTAAATGAAAAAGAGGCTGCTAAAAACCACTTTATTAAATAACTTCATTAGACGGTTTTGAATAAAAGACTACCCGGATTACGACAGGAAGTGAAGGAAAGCAGTACATAATAAATGGAGAAAGGTAAAACTGGCGCTGATAAAACACTGACAGATAACCTGAGAAAGCGATAAAGAAACCTAGTGAGGCGTATCGTAGAGGCAGCGCAGTTCTACTGTCCAGGACGGACGCTGGCCATCAGAGCCTCTCCCGGCGCTGCACGCCACAACCCCGCCCGCCGCTCCCGGCGGCCCCGCCGCTCCCGGCAGGCCGCGCGGCGCCGCGCCGCAGGATGATCCACGAGCTGCTGCTGGCCCTCAGCGGCTACCCGGGGGCGGCCTTCACCTGGAGCAAGCGCGGCGGCCTCCAGGTGTGGCACGGCCCCAGCAAAGCCCACCCCGCCCCGCCTGCCCCCTGCCCCCCACCCCCCGGCCTGCGCGGGCCGTGCGGCCCGCCCGCCCGTCCGTCCGCCCGCCCGCCCGCGCATTCATTCCTCACCGCTGTTTTCCCTTCCAGGTGTCTCAGGAGCTGCCGTTTCTGCACCCCAGCGAGACCAGCGTCCTTAACCGGCTCTGCCGCCTCGGCACCGACTACATCCGCTTCGCCGAATTCGTGGAGCAGTACACGGGACATGTACAGCAGCAGGTGGGGCCACTGGGCCGAGGTATTGCCCGGGAAGAGCGCGGCAGGTGCCAGTAAGGCCAAGCTGCCCAGGACACAGCAGTGGTCCGTGGCCCATACCCGCACTCGCACCAGCACCGAGCAGATTCTTGTAGAGAGCAATGAAGATTAATGAATCAAATGTAAAATCTTGTTATTGGGGAAGTCTTGTAATCATTTCTCACCACAGCAGACTGGCCAGGGTTTGTCATTTGAGCAGGATGCTCATGACTATCTCCTCATGATGTGCGAAGAGCCTTGAGATCCAAGAGGCACACTTAAGTGAAAAGAAGCACTGGTACCAGAGGCTCCCAGCACTTTCAGAAGTCCACAAAGGAGCTAAAGATCAGTCTGCTCAAGTAACATTGTCATTGACAACAAAGGTTGTCTTTGTTTTTCTGATCACTTTGTGGTGAGCTAAGGTGCATTTCAACAGGTTTGAAGCACTGACAACTGCTGTGACACTGCACAGATACTACATTACTCTTCAGACTTGCACGAGTATGCTGAGGCAGATTTTATTGTTTGGTTTCAGGATCACCATCCATCTCAGCAAAACCAGAGTGGATTGCATGGCATTTATTTGAGAGCCTTCTGCACAGGTCTTGATTCAGTGCTGCAGCCTTATCGACAGGCACTACTTGACCTGGAACAAGAGGTAAATGAGAGAGATACAGAACAAGAGGCTGTAGTGCTGTTGGCAGATTGTGGAAACTTGTCGTTTCTGCAATTAATATATTAGTAGTAGTTTCTAAGATGAAACAAGGTATTTTCCTTTCCACGTTAGGAATGCCTTCCAAATTATTCCTGTGAGATGCCATTGTAAATTACTTTTCATCATATTAAGTGTTATCCTCTCTACCTTCAATTCAGTAAGGGCTCCATCTCTGTCAGCCCAGTGAGACAGCCCAGTGCTGTCTCAGACTATTGTGGCTTCTGTTTTCAATTTTAGAGGTTTTGATTAATCTCTGCTAGACTAGTAGCTGTCATACCTTGGGTAGCGTCACCATTTAGTGGTTGTGATAATTAATCTTCATTATTTGCTTTATCTTTATAGTTTCTGGCTGACCCACATCTTTCCATCTCACATGTTAATTACTCCTTGGACCAGGTATGTCATGTTATTAAAGAAGTAGTGTTCTTTGCTTGGTCTCATCCCTCATTGAGTCTAATAAGAAAGTGGGTGAGATAAACGAGGCTTATTCCATCATGTCACGTCATTTCTATCTAATGTCTCTACATCTGTAGTCCCTTAATCGTACTTGGAGGATCACCTGCACTTCAGCACAAAACTAAGGTACTCCACCTTGACCCTCACACATTCCTCACTGACTGTGTTTAGCCTGAACTACTGCTGGAATATAGTAACTTCGTGCATCTTGGTCCAGTGAAGGGAAGACATACTTCCTAGAGATTTGCATGTCATGTTTCTAATTTGTGAGGAAAGACAGGTAATAGTTTTATTAAATTATTGTGTTCAGCTGCTGTCCACAGTTACTCAAGTACAGTTTTTTTCTCTCTTCCTTACATAACAACCTACATCAATATTTCACTTGTTCTGCAGTTTCAGTTACTCTTCCCCTCTGTGATGGTCATGGTGGAACAGATCAAAACTCAGAAGGTACAGTAAAATTCCAGTTAGTTTCTCTTAACAGGTTTTCTCTTTAACTGATGAAGTAATTTCTGCCCCCATCCCATATTTCTGAAAGTAGAAAAATAATGTAGTTTCAGTAATGGGTGCCCTATTACTAGCTCTACTGTAAGTATTGAAACTATTTTACAAATTCATTTACATTGTATTTGAATTTTTCTCTTATCCCATAATCTTTGATGTCTTGAATTTTATAGGACAGGATGCTGGTAGTTGGGAATCTTTATTTTCTGAGTCTGTTTTCTCTGGCTGTTGACGGAAATAAAAAAAGGCAGAGGCTAATGTTTTGAGAATCCAGAGATGCTTACATTTTTTAAGGGAAAGTATTGAGAGAAGCTTGAGTGTAGAGCCACATATAGAAGGCCTTTTTCATCACTACACCAGCATGTTACACCTTTCTTTCAGTAAGACTTGTTCAGTTTGTGAAGGCATTTTTTTGTTAGCTGAAAGTGTAATGTTTAAATGTATAAAAAGGTCAGTACAGATCCAAATAACAGACCTGGTGTAACCTTTTCTTTCTGCAGATTCATGGGTGCCAGATATTGGAGACAGTCCACAAACATAGCTGTGGGGGGCTGCCTCCTGTTCGCAGTGCTCTTGAAAAGTATGTAGATCCAGTAAAACTATTACTTCATTCTTCTGGAGTTAGTGTCAAAGTGTTTCTTACTTGTTGGAACAGTAAGAAAGTTGGAACGTGCAAAACAGCATGGTATAAAAGTAGGAGTACCATGCAGGGGAAGACTGTCACCGTCCCCATTATTTATCTAAAGCAGGTTTGAGGTGAGAATGAAGTCCTTCTCCATACTTTAGGCTAAGGGCTTAGAAAACTTCAGGCCCAGGTTTTTCTTCTTTGTTTTGCATATCATTGATCTTTGATCCTTCAAAATGATAAATGTGACTGTGTGAGTGTTGTGATGTTTGTATGTCCTTGTGGAGAAAGTCAAACTACTTAAAATGTCCTTTGAGTAGAAACAAAAGCCATTGCAGACTTACACCTCTGGTATACTAGCAGATTTCCATGGAGAAGTCACATGTTCAGAGGATACATTAGCTTAGTTTTGCACCTTCTAGTTTTGTCCACCTTTCTCTGTTAAAAAAAAAAAAAAAAAAAAAAAAAAAAAAAACCAAACATAAAATACCACATTAGCCAGTTAGTACTTGCTATACTGCCTTGCTGACCAACTGAACTTTCTGGAACAACATTCAATGAGGTTTTGATTATTGTGTGCAAAGGCCTGACTGACTGTTTCACTTGACCTCAGGATTCTGGCTGTGTGTCATGGAGTCATGTATAAGCAGCTCTCTGCCTGGATGCTGCATGGATTGCTACTAGACCAACATGAAGAGTTCTTTATCAAACAGGGCCCCTCTTCTGGAAATGTTCTTAGCCAGCCTGAAGAAGATGATGATGACTTAGGAATTGGGGGACTTACAGGAAAACAGCTACGAGAACTTCAGGACCTGGTAAGATCTACAAGTCATAACTTGACATCTTTGGTCCTTAGGGAACTAAAGAAGATGCGTGTTGTATTCTGCCTCAGTGCAAGCTGTGCTAGACTAGACATATACTGAAACCTGCGAGGATGGTAAATCGAAATAATACTGTAATAGGTTGCTGCTAGGCATAAGGGATGGAGACGTATTGTTTGGCACAGTTGGATAACCCCACAGCAGAAAGCCCTATGGATGGAATCTGTGTAGATGCTGATGTCAAGTAATGGGAACTGCTGCATGCCACTGCTCTTGAGTGACTGGTTTCTCATTCCTTATGGCCAACACTGTGATCTGTTTAACATAGGCATTGGTAGGTAGTGTGAGCAATTGCAAGGAACAGGGTGTGGGGAACTTGGCTGTTGACTTGATTTGCACACTTTCTATGAGCAGCTGGGTCAGGTGCCTTTCTTGCACAACCATTAGTTGTGCAAATGTTACCTATCAGGTTTATGCTACTGACATTACTGGTAGAAAATATGTTATGTGAGTCAAGGGACTGCTAAGCAAGGGAGCAACCTACCAGCACACGGCTGAAATGTGGTAACTCTTTCTCTATAAGTGCTATACCATTAGAGTGCCCTTTTGCAAACCACCTTTTTTAATGGAGTAGTCTTCCACACTGAGCACTTGAATAGTGTCTGAATAGAGAATAGTGTGGAGCAAGTTCAACTCTAAATTCACTCTCTATTTTATGGTGAGAAAACATTTCATGGGCACTTACGGAGTTAGTGGGGTACATGCAGCTTTGCTGTGACTACACAGAAACTCTTATGTTGCGTAATAATTAAGTGCCCTGTACCAACAGTCTCTGCTGTAAATGGACTATGCCCAGAGAAAAACAGGGGAAACCTTTAAAAGGCAGTTAGTGGAAAAATCTGTTATTTCACTATATTGGATATAGAAAGTGAAAATTGTTGAGTCTTCTAGGTCCATGGTGGAAATTGTAGACTAAGCAACTAATTTTTTCAGTATTATCGACTAACAGTGTTGGCAATTCTTTAGTCAAAGAGTAAAATAAGAACTCTTGAGTTTTAGTGGAATAGATCGCTAAAATACTTAGGTGTTGCATCATCTAAAAGTGTTGCTAGAATCTTAAGAAAAGAACTGCCAACCTGTTAACATCAGTATACAAATTTGTACTGAACTCTTCTATTGAAATGAAGAATTTTGTAGATGGCAAACATTCTCAAAACTGTGGGTGATTTTCTTCTGGATTATGGACCACTGAAACTAATTCTCCAGTAACAAGAAAGACAGACGAAATTGCCGGTATTGCATTCCTGAACGAAGATCTTGCCTCCATACTTGGAGTTCCTTATTAACATTCAGAAAAAAAATTAATAACTTACTGTATTGTTCTAAAACAGCTTTCACGGGAACTGAGAAAATTGCCTTATCTTTGCTAGCAAGCCTTTGGATCTTTATCCTATTCACTCTCTAGTGAAGGTGTTTATATTTGGCCTGTATCACAAGTATTCTGAAAGTGTTAAAACATACGAATGGGTGTAGGGGAGGATTATTTTTGGTAATTCTAGTTAACATTGTTACAGCAGCAAAAGACAGATGTAATGCATTTGCAATAACACTCCTTTTGCTTGTGTAACATAACCCTTTAATACAGCAAATTTGTTGCTGTTCCACAAAGGTTAAGCTTCTTTTTCCCTTCTGCTGTACTCTGATGGAAGCAATATCTGCTAGCATACTAGAAGTATAAGGAAGATTACTGGCTTACTGAAATGATACAGATAAATTCTCCTACCTTTCTGCTTACTTCCAATGCTCTTAAATGCCCCCTCACACACACACCTCT